GCGTGATGACTACGGTGAGAAATGACTTCACAGCAGTCGTTCGTAAGTGTAATACGAACCTTGTGTAGCATACCCGCCAAAGCTCTGGCGGTGTAAGCGCCACGAGAGAATCCTAATTGAAATATGAACATGAAAGCGGATGATGCAAGCGGTGATGGTTACCAAAAATACAGATTTTGTCGCCCGGTCGGTAGTTTTGCATGAGAAACTGATACCCGCCGCGCACGTGTGCATCAAGATACCTTCCAATACAAGTGTTCAGCGCCGTTGCGCTACAGAGTCTGACAATCATACTGACCAGGCTACAGCTTCGTCTGCTATTTTCGCGCACCATTGGAACAGCGGCGAGACAACTCCGGGTTGAAGATAAGTTCCTACTCCGGGCTGGAGAAGACGAAATTTAGTAGATGTGCCAGTGGTGACGGAAAGATGTAAGGGAATATTTACCTGATAGTAGCACATCTGCTCTTCAGTAGCATCCTTCTGCAAGAGGGAATAGAATTTGACCACGTTGGTATTCTGGTAAAACAGTAAGCATGGTTTGCTCTGAATTTTAACGTTTGGCACGGACATCACCGTCGTATTGATTCGCAGTCCCGTCGAAGCACAAAATCAATGTGCGAGATTTTAACATACCAGAATCAGTGCTCATTTTGGGGACGACAGAGGGTCCAGGAACAGGTGGTGCGGAAGGTGAAGAAGAGGACGCGATGTTCATGATTATCTGCATTACTTATATGCCCCAGGCGGGCCCCGTCAAAAAAAGGCGATGTGAGATGATTGATGTATCTTGCTCTTGTGGAGAACAAGAAGAACGCTGAGCAGATGGAGAGCAGTGTCGGAGGAAGACGACAGCCCGGTTGACATGGAGGGCTATTCAGCGCGGGGATACTTGAGGATCTCCATCTCTTGAAACATAAGCCACGAACGGCAATGTGAATTCCTCGATCAAGGTTAGCTTGTGACGGTTCTTACTGCATCTGTCATTCTCAGCGCATCAAACAGCCTCCTGAGCAAAATAACCAACGTGAACCGTCCCCACTCTATCCGAAGGCTCAGAAATACCTTACAATCTCCATTTCAGGCGCAAACATATCAGCAAAACGAAATAAGGGATGGCTCTGCTGCAGCAGCAGCATGTATTTTTTCTCACCTAGTAGCACCAGAACAAACGTTCTTCCCATGTACGGTAGCCACGTGGGTCACAGACGCCCGCGGCTAGTCTGCTCCTCCAGACTTAACACCTGCACGGTGACAATCAAAACGAGTACGATGCTCGCCAATAATACAATTACAATGAGAGAGTAGCGTACACTAATACTGGCATGTAGGACAGATCGGCTGGGAAAAGTACACTTAATCTCTGCGAATTGAGTGCGCCATCGGGGAAGTGGTGTCGCAGAAGGGTGATTAATGGGACTGATAGAGTTTAATGTATCTGAGGCGCAGCTAACGAATCATGGGAATCATGGCCTCTCATCACTGGCAAAAGCATCCAGTACCTTTTCAAGAATTTGCAACGTATCATGAGCCCCTGCCGAATGACTTGAATCGCCTCGGAAATGACCACTGTGAGGTCGTCTATACTTTATGTTTCAGCGAGCCAAAATTAGATGCATCTCTAGAAACGTACTCCACGGACCTGTTAATTCTTTCCGTTTCGGGGTCGATCTCTAAAGAGCCACCGTCTGCGAGTAGCACCTTGTATTTCAGAGACTGGCCGTTCCTGTACCTGGTACACCACCCTACGGAAGGAACATATCTTGCGAAGGAACGTACTGGACACCCGGCGGGGTACGCTGACTGTGGTTGAGGACCTCCTGTGAACGTCTTGCTCTCTTCAGAGGTTCGCGACAAAGATGTGTTTGAGAACTTGGCTGGTCGAGGAGCCAACTGAATGGAAGGAAGGACGGTCGTGTTGGAAGTCGCAGCAGTGAGAATCGAGCACGTTCGTTTGTCCAAAGCATTCGAGCTCACGCTGTCACTAGGCGCTGAGATATCATCAATACCAGATGGCCGGGAAGGACGAGTCGGCTGGTTTGTTCCTGGAGGTAATGCCGAAGATGTATATGGCCGCTGTACCTGCCGGGCGGTGCATTTTGTGGTTATTGTAGAAGGTTGACAGCCAGCGGGTGGAGGGACTGCGAGAGTCGGATTACTCGTAACGCTTGTAGTAGAGTCCATCTTGTCCAAAGCTTCACAGACGCGCAAGAAACTCCACAGAATATTGAGCCCAGCTTGTTCGGTACTTTCCATGAGATTCCAATCCTCGTCGGCGATTTGAGATGCTGTTCCAAGTACAGGTATAACCTTTTTAGTCCATTCACCCGCTGTGGAGCCGTGGCGGGATACTATGTGTCTTGCAATCTCAAGTGTGCGCGCTCTCCGGAGGAGTTTAATCCGCATACTCGGAGGTTCAACTGTCTGATGCGCTGGGGATCTTCGGGATTTGGCTTGCCTCGGAGACAAATTGGGCGGTGGAAGGATCACTTCGATGTCGCCATGGGGTTCATTGGCCATTAGGGTACACTGCGCCTCCGGTTTGTATAAGACAAGCTAGGAGTTCTATTATAAGACAGTTCTGGTAAAACGGGAGGATTTACCTTGGGAATACGCTGTTTGAGCTGGTCCACAAGATGACATGCGTCGTTGTACTGTTTCCAATACGTCGGGGAAAGATCATCCAAAGAATGCGTGGAGATCGGCTCAACCAAACAACAAGGGGTGCTGAGATGCGGAGCGCTGTAGACCTTCACCTGGAATAAAGTCAACCCAGAACCACAGTTAGAGACACGGATGAAGGATCCAACCTCTACTCCACAATCATTGATAACGAGGACCTCAGCTCCTTGTCTACCATTGCGCCGTTCGCCTTCTCGAAAGTCCACCAGTAAAGAGCGCGATGGTAGAACTGTAATTTGACCTTTGGCGACCTTATGAGCTTGAGGAAGCAGATACATCGTATTCAACGGAGTGGGTCTAGTAGGTCCTACAGGAACTGTCGAAACAGGCGGAGAGACAGAGCGAGCGGAGTCTAACGTTGGGTGTTCTTCCTCTTCGTCGCGAGTTTGTTGTTGCGTTGACGATCTCGGGGGTCCTTGTTCTTGAGGATCTTGTATATGGCATGAGAAAGGCGACGGAATTCGAGAGCCATGTTTCCCAGGCTGGAAGTCTTCTGCACCTTCCCGTTCGTATTCAGGCGCAACAGGTACTCCAGAATAACGGTATTTGACGAGATCCTCTTGACGATGAACCGGCGGAAGTAATAAAGGGTGTTCAAGTTTCCCAGCTTCAGTGTCTGACATGCCGTCGTCCGAGGTTCCTTCAGAGATCACAGAGCCAGAGCCAAAAGTCAGGGCAGGGGTATTGCCAGCGGTACTTGATTTATCTAGACTAATTATGCGATCTTCCAATCGAACGCTAGCAAAAGAAGCTTTTGAGGTGATACGAGATTGAGGAGCTGAAGAAACACGGCGACCATAGTTGGGCGCCAAGAAACGAGGCTTCCATTCGTCGCTCAGAAAGTTTCGAGCACCATGGATCGCTAGATTGGTATGAGGTTTCCGTATATGAGGTATTTGCAAGTCAGGAACGCGAGATAGGGAGGCAGGGTATTTCTGTCGTCTAGGGTATGATGTCTGGCTGTCAAGAGATATCTTAGTTTGATTTGGCTGGAGACCTGTAGAGCAAACATCAGAACGGTTAATTTCCAGGGGGAGGACCGGTAAAGTTGGGTTAAAGAAAGGATGAGACGCTAAGCGATGGAGTGGCGTGCGATGGTTGGGGTCCTAATGTATGAAATTAAACAGGCAAGAATTAAGGGGAATTCATGGGACAATACTAACGATCTGCAAAAGCCCAGAAGTAAGATCCTGTAATTCATATGATACAGAGTCAGGAAGAATATAGGTGGCACGGGAGATGTTCTCAGATGTTTGTTCAATGGTGGGAGCCTATGATTTATGATGACTAGTAAGTGATGCTGCCTCTAGAAAAATGAGGAATACTCACGTGAAACGCAGGAACACCAGTTAAACATGTTACCAATAGAGCTCCAAACGACCAGATATCTGTATTCAAGCCATAGGAAGAACGTGCAACAATTTCCCTACGTTCAGAGGTGAGTTTTGCAGAACGATACTGACGAGAATGACTTACGGAGAAATATAATTTGGCGAACCGCAAAAATCTGATACTGTAGAGGACTCCGAGGATAAGCGAATGGCCAACCCAAAATCGCATATTTTCTAGATCAAGAGTCTAGCACACAGCTATGAGTGCGATTGGGAGCCTACTTACCACGCGAAAGTGTTCGTTTAAAAGCACGTTGCTAGGCTTGATGTCGCGATGTAAAACTAGCTCTTTGCGAAGATATAGAAGGCCGTCCAGAATATTTCTAGCGACACCCCTCAATTCGTCTTCAGACAACTGATTCTGTGTTCCCCGTTGGAGAAAGTCGGACAAAGTCCCGTTGTGGCAAAATTCTAGAACTTGATAATGTACCGTTGGGGTAGAGAAAGCACCTAGTAATGAGACGATTGAAGGATGATGAAGGGAGAGGTGTAAAGAAGTCGATGAGGTGAGGTGAGCTATGGTATCGCGAGGCAGGATCTAGTTTAAGACAGAAGTGAGCTTTTCTCTGACAGGTGGTTCTACCATGTAACCTTTTTCAAAGCAACAAGTCGATTTCTCATGCGACCTCGTTTGCAGGTTGCAAGATACACCACGGATGTTCCGCCATGTCCCACTTGCTCAAGAATGTCATAGTTCTACCATAAATTTGTAAGACACAACCAATCTAGACAAAGGGAAGCAGAGCCCACGTGCAGACTATCTGCTGAGGCTTGAAAGATGTCTGGAAAAGTTGGTAAGAACATAGTGATGGTGGTTTCCGTCGTCCGAGTCGTAACTCGATTGACTCGAGAGACAAGTCCGCGCATAAAAGAGCGCGCCCATTATTGAATATATGTTGATTTAGACTATCTAAAACGTTATCGGATGCCCGTTTAGCTCAGTGGTAGAGCGCGCCACTCGTAAACGCCCGTTTAAGTGCCCGTAAATGGTGAGGTCGGTTGATCAATCCAGCCAATGGGCAAATCTTTTTCTCTGAGACTCAATAGTGACTCACTTGACACTGACTGGTTCTAGTCACCTGTGAGTCAATTGAAAATTCAACTTGGCACGCCACGACTCAAACAAACGGCGTCGAGCCTCTTGTTGTTTTACCGCGTTGGCATGCCGCAGCCAGAAACTATCCAACTGGCTACTCGCGCTCTCACCCGGGCCTCTGACGACGTTGGTAATTATAATGCGGACACTGCAGAGCACTCCGCTGGGGTCCTCCCCAGCAATACTAGAAACGAAACATCTCTTGCTCCTGTCGACAAGGGGTTTGGGGCTTGGTCTTTCGTGTGTCATCCGATTTCTGCATATCTTTGTCAATTATGACTGATCCTCAGTAGTTAGCAGCTGCGTTCTTCGTCGAGACACTCGTTTGGGGTTTCCCCAATGCGTATGGTGCATTCCTCGTTAACTACCTGAACGATCCCTCCTTGTCTTCCCAGAGGCATGCGTCTTCTTTACTCCCTTTGATTGGCCCACTCTCGTCTGGGATCATATACTGCTCCGGTAGGTGTACGGTCTGTGCGCCCCGAGACCTGCATCTAAAATCCTTCTAGGACCAATCACGTATCCCATGGTAGCCCGTTATCCTCGATATAGGCGTTTATCTATGTGGATCGGTACTCTATTGCTATTTAGCAGTCTTCTAGGGGCTAGCTTTGCCAGACAGGCGAGCAAGGCAGCACTGGAAAGCTATGATTTTCGATTAACCTGTCCTAGGTTGAAGTGCTATTAGCCCTCCAAGGCGTCTTATATGCGGTCGGAGGAGGTGGGCTTCCTGAATCAACAACTGGTCGTGTATTTCTAACAAAATTCCAGCTTTGCTTTATGCGCCATGCATCTATTACATGTCTGAGTGGTTTGTGGAGCGCCGAGGTCTCGCAAATGGGGTCATTAATGCTGGTATGGTTCAATCTCCCCGCCTGTCTCATACATTCCAATCGATGATCGAACATTTTAGGAACTGCCACTGGAGGACTATTATTACCACTCATCCTTCCGACCTTACTCAAGACATACGGCAGTTCGAAAACTCTCCGTTACCTTGCTATAGTGGAGCTGGCCTTGATATGCGTTGCGCTACCTTTCGTGAAGGGACGTCTTCCAGAGGCCCGAGTGCATGGCCCAAGTTCAAGATCAGCCAATGACCGCCGTTGGCTCAAGAACAGATCCTTATGGTTCCTACTCCTGGCCAATACTCTTCAAGGTCTCGCATACTTTGTGCCTGTCCTCTGGCTACCTAGTACGTTTCATGCGTACTGGGTATACTATACTGTCTTATTCTCTATTCTTAGCCTATGCGTCTTCACTACGCTTGAATGTGACAGACTCCTCCCTGGCACTGGCAATGCTGAACGGTGCATCTGTTATTGGTCGACTCAGCATGGGAATCTTGTCCGATCGTTTCAGCCCCTGGCTCTTGGCATCCGCCACGTTGGCTTTGACTTCTCTGTCTACCTTTGTCCTTTGGGGTGTCTTGTCGTACTCGTTGGCCGGGGTACTTGCCTATGGGATTGCTTACGGTTGCCTTGCCGGTGGTTGGTCAAGCTTATGGACCGGTTTTGTGCGACCTATTGCCAGTTCGTATTTAGACATTCTTTGTTGACATAGAATCTCATATTGTTGTATTTGTAGAGGATGACCCATCGCTCTCGACGTCAATATTCGGCATTTTCATGCTCTCTCGTGGCGTTGGTAACATCCTGTCCACCCCTGTGTCCACAGCTCTGCAACGAGTACAGTTCTCCCAATCTACGGTTTCGTTAACCGGACAAGCACTAAATGGGTACAAAGTCGCCGGAGGCCAGTATGAGAGGATGATAATTTACGTTGGAACATGTTTCGCTGGTGCTGCAGTCATCGTGGCTACTGGTTGGATAGCGGAAGGACGACATCGCCGATAAGTGTGTCGATGAGGGATGTATTCCCCTTCCTGTTCTTGTCTGTGAACGCCAGATACGCCCTTGAAATCTACATTACAGAACAAACTTTCTAGTACAGACTGAGTAGCGATACACGGCGGGTATATGAATTTTTACAAAGATGATATCGAAGCCACCAGCAATTTATTCCCTGTGGAGTCTCCACATACCGTCTTTCACCGTAACTAGGCCTTCCCTCCTAGCAGCTTCCATGAACGTACCCAATTGCTCAATATTTCTGTTGTATCCAGGGGCAAACTTCAGCATCTGCTGTATACGATCCAGTGGCAAGGTGCCAAGATTTTTGAGCATCCCTTCGATGAACTAAGTTGACAGAAGTTGGTCATCACAGGTAGGCCAGATGCAAAGATATTACTTGCCTTCCAGAAAACTTTCATCTGTTCGGCCTCTTGCTGTTGAACACTCACTACGGGGGGCTCCTGTTCTGCATCATCTACAGAAACAAGACACGCATTAATAAAACTTCCGACTTGTTAAGGCTGTAAATAGCTTACCAGTTCTTGACGAGCTTGGCATGGAAGGTCCAGCTTCTTCTGCCACTTTCAACAGCCTAAAGGAGTCTGCGCTATCCTCTTTCAGAACGCCCAGCTCGGTCCATGTAGTGAGAGCCCGGATAGCAGAGCTACGGTCGATGGATCCTACTTCCTTTATGAGCTCAGTAGTGCTCCAAACATCTACAAATGTGTGACAATTAGGTGCAAAGAACGCATTCAGCCTCAAGACTAACCTTTGGTTGAAAACAACTCGATGAATGCAGCCTCCAACGGAGGTACATCGGCAGTGACGGTTCTGTCATCGAGCTCAACTTCGAGATTGATGGTACCCAGATGTGACATCCATACAAGCTTCTTGTCAGGCTTGAACTTGACATATTCTTTAGCGTAGTTTTCTTGGATTCTAGAACGTCGATTTAAGACCTGAAATATAACGTAGAAGACTCTTACTCACTGCTTAAACTGTCCTGGCATCTTAAAAGTACTGGACTGTAGAGGTGGCCAGAAATGTCGCGAGATGATAGTCGGATGAAGTATAAACTATGAAAACAAGTCAAGTCAAATCCAGATCAATTCCCGTGCAGACTCGGGGTGAGATACGAACCTGCTCTTGTGACTGAATATGCTGATCAGTCCGTTTGGAATCGGTCATATCTCTCAGCATGACTTCGCAGACTTGCAGCGCAGCCTCGCCAAATCGAATCTTCAAGATCTCGATATTCCGACGCTTGTATTGTGGAATCAGCATTGCTTGTTTGTAAGAAGGTCTCAAACATACCTCACGATCAAAGTTGCCATCTTTGATAGCCAACAAGCGCTGTGCTAGCAGCACCTGCAACTCCTTGACAAACAATTCCTTCGAGTCATAGATACTGACAAGAGTACTGATAATATCACTCGGCCTGTTCGCTCGGAACTCTAGAATTTCGCAAAAGATTCGACATAACATCAGTGACATCTCAGATATTTATGTAGCCTTGAGACTCACCAGGGCCCGCATCGATAGGTTCCGGCTCCCAATTGGGATCGCCGTAATCATCCATTTGAGCTTGCTGTAACGGCTGAATAGGTTCATTCTCGTCAACCAAGGAGTCTCCACTTTCGCCATCACCAACCAAGCTGGCGACTATACAACGGATTGTATCAGGACGATCCCTGACTCTCAAAATTAACCAAGCTTCACAATAATCAATAGTATATGCGCACCGGAGGTACCGACGGATTGGATCTGCGACCTTAAAAAGGAGCACCCCTGGAGGGTCTACAATCCTAAGGCATCGGATGATAGACACATACTGCATCAGGATAGTCTTAGTATCTGCACCGGGATGTAGAAGGCGCCTCCGGTTTCTGCCCAAAGTCCGATAAGTGAGAGTGATATCGTACAAGTCAACCAGCCACATACGCTGTCCGCAGACTTTGAACCAGTTGTGACCGATGGTCGACGCGCTGCAGACATTCCTAAGGGAAGATTTATGAAATCAGCAATTTTCAAAAATATTTTGCAGATGATGCACCTTGAGGTCCTCAAGAGCCTTCTGTGACTCAGGGAAGTCGATTATGATATCGAATATCTCTTGTATGCTATTTCATAGAGCTCGATGAATAGAGAAGATGGCAATAATCTGAATACCTACCGTAAAGTAGCCAGTGTCTTGCAAACATGGAAGTCCAATCGAGAACCAATGCCCTGCAACATCGTTCTGGCTTCTTCGGCTACATTCCAGATCCTGCATACTGAGATTTCAAAAGCACATAAGTTTGAGGATTTTGCTCACCATTTCTCGCCCCTTTCGCATATGGCAAAACCATCCAAGGCACAATCCTATTGGTCATCCATTCTCTCAAAATATACAACATTGGCCTATCCCACTCCTTTGCGCAGGTTTCCAGTATATGGCTCTCAATGTACTCGTAGCAAACGCTCGAAATCAGAGTCTCGTATCGTTCCTGCATGCCTAACTGCTCGAATGCGTTCCACAATGGGACATCTGCACGTGAATATGGACCTTGGGTAGGAGGCGGAAAGAGGTTAAGCATCCATCCTGAAGCAGAGGGATCTTGGGTCAAGTTAAAGGTGGCAGCAACGAGTGCCTTGAACCCTGCAGAAAATGACGGGGGGAGGATAGAGAAAACATGTGTCCTGAACGCTTCAGTGTATGATTTTGACAGGGTACCACCTAGTCTGATATTGGATTATAGGTGGTTTCGAGGCCTGTAGAAATAGAGCTCACTCACTCAGGTATAGGGGCCCAAGCCTTGTACCATTCCAACAGCCTAGCGACCATTTGACCTACATAAAGCGGATCTGATGTTGCCTGCAAAACCGTATGTTGAGCGTATAGGAAAGGTCGGAATGCAAAGCAAACACACCTCGTACCGAGCCATAAACTCTTCCACATCGTCCGTTATCAGATGAAGTTCCTGGCGCATATCATCTGAACCATCTCAGTGGTCTCCTTTACTGTCTGCGGAATCAATGGACTTACTCACCAAGGAAGACGTCGAGTAACGTAGGTAGCATTCTGCATTGACTC